GCCCCGCGGCTCATGTTTATCCTTGCATGTCTAACCCTGTACGTCCAGGTTGTAACCTTCGGGTCTGTATAAAATGTGTCCCTGCGAAGTCAGGTTGCCCCGTACATCCGGGATGCCCTGTACGTCCAGGATGCCCCGTTCGTCCAGGACTGCCCTGTACGTCCGGGATGCCCCGTACATCCGGGATGCCCCGTACGTCCGGGAAGCCCTGCATGTCCGGGATGCCCTGTACGTCCAGGATGCCCTGTACGTCCAGGACGCCCCGTACGTCCGGGATGCCCTGTATGTCCAGGATGCCCTGTACGTCCAGGAAGCCCTGTACGTCCAGGGAGGATGCCTAGGAGGCATCAGTATGTCTAAATTTCCACATGTATTAACCTCTCATTTCATCCATAGATTTCCACTGCATCCCACAAGGTAAGATTTCATCACGTTCAGTACTTCATACTTTCACTTCTTTTGGGGGTTCATCGGAAACGGTTCTTCCCTTCCCGAATGACATCCTACCAAACCTGGGCCTAATCGCCAAACACCATTTCATTCACTTGTTATAAACTGTCATCATTATGTTTCATTTATATAATGTGACCCGATAATAAACATGTATTTCATACATCACGTCTCTCCTGATTAAGCTCCTTTCAGTGCAGTGCATCCTGTTTGGTGGTCCGTGCACCATAATGGGATGTGCGTAGTGAAGCAGGACAAAAACAGCCGAAATATAAATCATGTACATATGCCTTGGCCACCTTTCAAAGAGAGCCCGCCCAGGTAAGTCAATATGTAACAGTCAACATAGTCATCAAGACATTGTTCACCAAGACGCTTGACACATGCCAACCAAACTCAACACTGCCATCCATCCACATTTGTGACTGATATCGTTTTTGCCTCTTGAGAGTTTCTGTCTGAAGATTAAAGCCAATAATAATATGACATTCGCTTTGCTTTCCAGTGTTGTAAATAACTAAAGTTTTTTTTCTTTTTTTTTTTTAAAGATAACTAAAAATATTTGGCTTCATGACAGTTTAGACGGTCTACAAATGTTCCTGTGATCCCCGCCTTAACTAAATATTGAAAAACACAGTATCATATTGTTAAAAAATGGTGATCCTTATGTCTGGTAAAAAGAGAACGTTTAAAGAAAGAACATTGTTGTTAACACAGGGATGTACGATCTTCTTCATGAAAGAACTACCAAGTTTTTCTAACACGTCATTTGCCACCATTTTGGGCCTGACAACAACATCCACATGTTTTCTTCCTTACCGGAAAACGTAATCGTGAGCATCGATCTCTTTTCCATTTTTTGAGCCATTGAGTATTCCCGCACCAGCAACCACAGCACAGGTCACACACCCACCGCCTGGCTTTGGAAGGAGAAGTGGCTCCTTGGGCTTTGGGATTAACTTCACTGAAGTCATTACATCTAAAAAAACACATTAAATAAATAATGTGAGATCAGATCAGTGGTGGAATGTACTGTACCTAAGTACCACGTTCTACTTCTACTGCATTTCTCTTAAGAGGGAAATCTTGAACTTTTTACTGCACTATACTTATTTAACGTCTTTTTTCACTAGTTACTTTGCAGATTCAGATTTGTGTACACAAAACATATGGATACAGCTGTAAAAACATGCATACTTGTAAATTAATTGACAGAATTAACTGGCAACTATTTTGATAATAGTGATGGTTCCAGCTTCTAAAATATGAGTATTTGGTGCTTTTCCCTTTTAATTATACACAATCTGCTTAATAAAATTAATCATCAGTCAAATAATTCAAAATGAGCTTCCCCTCAATCAACTGAAACTGCAAAATCCTGCTTTTGAATGAATTGGTAATAATAATCTAATGATATAGTATGAAATAGTTGAATAGTTACATGGGACACCATTCTGGATACTTGTACCTCTAAATGCTTTTCCCAACCCTAACCCATTTATTGTGACTGAGTGTTAAAAGTTGCAAACTGCCAGCTATTGGGATCCCATGGGTGACTTCATCATTAAGTAAATAATTCTGTTCTTCTTCCTCAATCCGTTATTTTACAACGCGTTCATGGGTCAGTTGATCATAATCTTGGGAACAAAGTGTTATATAGTTATATTGCTCCTTATCACTGGATGTACTTTATACCAGGGTGGAAACAGTTAATAAAGTGAGGTCAGCCTAGCAACATTATTATTTTTCAATTATTTTACTCAATTCTCACTTTTGGGACTTCTTAATAGCATTTAATTAAGAGGAGACAGCAGGTATTTGCCTTATTTACTCCACTGTTCATATCAGAAGATTCCTATTATTATAATGTTTATCACCCTTGTTTGTAACCTTTATTTATCCAGATTGGTCCCATTGAGATCATAGATCTCTTTTTCAAGGGAGACCTGCACAGAAGTTTCCTTATACCCAGGAGAAACGGTAAGTATCCACCAGTCCCTTGCCTAGCAGCATTCCACCTTAGTAAATGAAACACATTGTTGACACTGAGTCTCCCATGGGCAGATAGAAAAACACCTACCATCATGCTTAAACCCCATAAAACCAAAGGGATTGTTAAAATGCGACAGCCGGTTCCACTCGCTCATGTTGACGTTGTCTTTGTGCATATACAGCCGTATGTTGGGAAGGAAATTCTTCTTAAAGCTCTCATCCTCAGAGTTTCGCAGAGAATTGGCACACGTCTGAGAATAAAGCATAATATACTCACTTTGATTGTTACAAAAATGTATTGTCTCTCTAAATGCCCCCTTACAGCTGAAGAAACAGCAGGCAAGAAGCCAAGCAGGTAGACATATTATAAATAAAATGTAAGAAACTGCAGTAGTCCCTTCAAGAGAAAAGCCAACAGAAATCCGGATCACACACAGACAGCTGAACACCCGGACGCGCAGATTACCCTCTCCCACAAATGTGATGATTTTATAATGTTTGTGTCTTGTCCTGACATGCTTACCGTCTGTCTGGGTGGAGCATCCTGGTTATAAATATCCTCAAAATCCCACTCAGGAACCTTCTTGAAGGAGCTTCTGATGAGGACGGGCATGGGTGTCTCAGCCACAACGGCTCGTATAGGTCCAGTTTGATCATTTTTTAGGTCCTTTCCTGGATTTGTTTGTATGTAATCAGGAAGTTTTGTTTTCTGTGCTAACACATCAGCTGAAGTGGAGCTTCCTTTTTCCATTCCCAAGTCGAAAAACAACTTGTGAGCTCTTTGGCTTATATTTCCTGACAAAGATGGCCATCTGATGTAGAAATTTAACAAAAAGAGCCATTGACGCAAAATACAAGCATTATCAGGATACATTTTTATAGTAACTTTAATTAAAATGTTGTACCTGGAAATCAGATGATGGACATGTATATGAATGAACAGGATCAGGAAACAAAATAACCAGTCCTGATAAGTTCCTTCTTAATAATCTCAAAATAACTTACCTGATTCTGCTCAATGAATATTCCCATGGTAAAAGCAAAAGTACACTGCAAATTGAGAGCAGAAGCAGCGCATAACAAATCTTAAGGTGTTTTTCTGCCATCCCTGACACTGAGAACTGGAGGCCTCAAGGCTCAATCAAACACTAACTGCTGAGATACCTGTCACCAACTACTGTATATTGGGAGGGGCTAAATCAAAGTTTACTGCAAATGACACACAGGAATACAGCTCTCCCTCTCCCTTGCAGCAAACACTCACGCGGGCTCACACACCCACTTCTTCATAGTTGGATATGATAAGCCCCAAGCCTGTTTTTCAGGTTTCAGGCTCGAAAATGACACTCCCAGAACAAATACAAACAATAGGATTTGATATATTTAGCATTTCTATCATGGGGGGTGTGAATGACAGGTGGTGGGACAGTATTCAAAGAACACAAAGTATGTCATATTAAAACACAAAGAGAGAGGTTGTTCTGTGGATTGTACAGCTTGTGTTGAATACTGTGTGTAAGGGAAACTTCTGTAGCAATGGAGAGTCAGGACTCAGAGAGACACGAGGAGAGTTGGAGTTTTGATGTCAAACACTGATGGTTTATTTGGAGCTTCGGCCGGAGAATTCACATCACAAATCCAAGAGCCAGGGGTTCTGACTTCACGGTAGAGTTGCCACGTCAAATCTGAAGAACTCTACCCCAGACCCATGTATTTAGCTAGTTCAGAGAGAATAATCAACATTGTGCATAACAGGATAGAATCATAACACCTCTATCAGCTGACGCCAACAGGCAGGAACAGGGAGACAAAACACTGAGAGCACAGCAGCCAAGGTTACAGGTGCGTGTGCTCAGACAGGACAGTATGAACTGATAAACTGGGTCAAAGTTATGGACCTTGGAAAATATTTCCCCAACACTGTGAACATGTTTATTAAAGTATGTGGTGCACCGCAGTAGTCCTGAAAGTAAAGAGGCAATCATATGGTGGATCCCAAAATGTTAAGAAGTCTCAGATGGAGTAGAGTCTGATCTGCTCCTCCATGTCCACATCTGAAACCTCCCCAAACGTCTCCTGGTTGTCTTTCAGCAGCTTGAAGATGGCGGCCAGCTGCTCTCGTTGCACCCTGAAGTGTATCAGAGAATAATATATAGTTGGGAAAGAACCAAGAAAAAAGTCGACAAACTGTGGAACTTTTATCAGGTGGAATTCATAACGACAAACAAAACCCATTCTGTAAATGTACATTAAGAAAGCAGCGAAAGAACACTGAAACCAGTTCTGCCAAGTGTCAATATTGATAAAAGTAACTACGCTCTTCTAGTAAGTAATAAGCTGCAGGAATTCGTCATTTCTATAGTGGGTTAGAAGCCTGAAACAATGTCTGTGGTTTACCCACGATTTTCAGGCTTTTTTCCATGCCACAAAACATGTAAGCAAATAACGTACTCACGCTGTTTTTAGTGCTATTTTTTGTCTTCAAAAATATGGTTATGAGCAACTGGGCGAATGAGTCGTTGGGGACATTAAACGTCATCTGGCCGCACACCAGTCCCCAAACTCATTGCTATTGCATTAAAAAATAATTTGTGAAGATTACCTTTTTTAATGAAATATGTATCAAGTATCATTAACTTTTTATTTTCTGAAATAATACAAAATCCAATGGAAAATAACCTTGGACTTTTTCGGAGGGAAGGGCAATCAATGCAAACTTTTGGGGTGACATATACAAACATTTCTTCCCTGTAGCACTCGGATGCTAATAAATACTGTAAAGACGAAAAATATGTTGAATGTCAAGAGATAAACTATAAATACACATATACAAGGAAAAACCAAATAAATACATAACACAGTAGAGAATTTAAAGGATTATATTGCAGAGCAACGCAGCGTATTTGTTAACTGATGGACGTTTTACAGACCAAAACATTTTTTTTGAAATTAATCAAAACAGTTGGTTGCATGAATCATCCTCTTTACTGTCACAATACTACGGAAAGACAAGGGAAACACAACGGGAACAGACATGCCAAAGGGTGAATACTGGTAGAAGTTTCATCAGAAACCCTGCTATCTGCTGTTTGCCAAGTAGAGGAAGCCATTGTGACTTCATCCAATGTTTGTTAAAGGTTTGAAACCTTGAGTTAGACATTACATTGAGAGCTAGGGTCATTTTCTTCAAACAATCAGATTTCCTTTTGGCACCAGTGCGCCCCCCGCTGGCAGGTGGCCTGCTTCAAGATCTAACACAATAAGCATTGTCAACTTACACCTGTGGATTGTAGTCATTACATTTGACCAACCATCAAGCTGAATATGCAAAGTATATTATATATATATATATATATATATATAGTAAATTCAATGTACAGTACTGCTGCTACAACTGAATTCCCCCAGCTCTCTGTTATCTTGACGTCACATTTTCGAAATATACTGTATGACTCAGATAAGCGTCAAATTAAATGTCCTTTTATCTTTTCTTTATCAGAAGCTATCTCATTTATTGTCACTTACTCAACATGATGAAGCACATTGTATTAAGTAGGAGCCTTTACTTTGAACTCTTGTAATAAAGTAAGATGTAGAAAGTACATGTAATGGGATAACATAACTAGGTGTTAGGTAAATCTAGAAAAAAGCTTTTTTTCTCTTTTCGTGAGATATTTTGTGGTCTTTAACATGTAATAAACCAACTTTATCAAAGCCTATCCCTCAAATTTCCCCCTCACCCTCACTATTCCAGTGTGACACAATCACTTTAGAGGCGGTTTCCGTGTCAGCCCGAGTCCCAGTGCTGCGTTACACCGAGTCCTCCTTGTGGCAGAACAGAGGAGAGTCCTGAGAGGATTAACTAACACTTCTCTGTGAGTGGACGACTGGAGACACAATCAACACCTGCTGTCACAGCTGTCAATCACACGTCTAATGTGGCACAACGGGGCAGTGGGGGTAGGGGTGTGTATCGGTCGCTTCATGGCCATCTGAAGTAAAGAGCTGATGAGGCCAAAATCACTTCTGAGGTTAAGAAATGCAAAATGGTTTTGGAGTAGTTTTCAAATAATGGCCAGAAAGTGACTCCTCTGAGATAAACGGGTGAAAATAATAATACTTTACCACATAACTGCTCCTTTTTCAGGCCTACAGACAGTTACAGACTGTGGTGGAGTGTATCCTGTAATGATAAGAGCAACATCTTGTATCCTACGTGTCCTTGTTTGTTGTGCTTTCTTCACAGTCTTGTGTCATTCATCCTTCAGCTAATACCTGGCAGAGACTCAATCAGGCCTTACTCAGTCTAGCCTGAACAGGAAAACTGACACAGCAGCTAAACAGGGAGCGAACAGCAACAACACACAGACAGCGTAGGGGAGATTAGAGGGAGAAAGACTCTGAACAGGGTGGGAAATGTATATGGCTCTGTTTCCTTAAACTGCAATTCATGTTTATTCCTGGTTAATACATTGCTAACTGCGCCAATAGGTTTAGGTTTTGAATACTACCCACCAAAAAAAAGCTGGATTTGTTTTGGTATTTTACTGTGTTATAACGAGGCGAAGTAGGATATGTTTTCTGTCTGATTGTAGGATTAGGGAAAAACTAGTGAACCCATTTTCATGAAATTTATAAGAGGGTTTTAACATGGGCAATTTCGTAAAAAAAATATGTAAACATAGCGAGGCAGGGCATTATATCTATTACAAGCCATAAGTAAGCAGAACTTTTGGGTTGCCAGGTTGTGGAAAATCCTGCTTTAATTCATCAGGGATGCTCCCCAATTAATTGTTCTTAAACTCATATAAAGAGAACCATTACCTGAAAACCGGTACTCATATTGTTCCTTTTCACTGACCTCTGCTCCTCCTCCAGCTCCTCTGACGACATCATCTTCTCCAAGTGATGGGATCGCGCCTTTCCAGGGACGTACTTCAAGGAATCGTTTATCTCCTCTTTATCTGATGAAACAGATCATCCTTGATAAGAAATCTTACACCAAACATTTATTTTGAAATAAATAGTTGCATATATTTTAAAATGTATCTCACCATCTATCCCCGGGCTCTCTGTGGCTCCTTCAGTCTGAGGGATTGAGAAAGCACACTTTAGGAGTTGCTTTTCAGAGAGCCCAATGTATGACCTACGACACGACGAGGCCTCGGACGACCAGTCCACCTCTAAGCTCTGGTGTCTACACCCAGAACTGGGCACGGACAGGCTGGTTGTGGTGTGGTGCTTAACTGGTGTTGCCACTTTTGTGAGAGGGTGAGGATGTGCCTCCTCCTGTCAAATAATTAAGGGGTAAAAAGAGGGGCATTTTTTTCTCCCTTAAACTTTATCAATTCATGTTGTCTTAGGTAGTCCCGGATTAGAAACTGGTGTACAGATATTGAACTCCAAACAAATACCTCCTTGTGTTACCTGTATTTCTCACCTCTCCTGGATGCTGATCTGGCCTACACTTGGCGCAGGTTAGCTTTTCATACCTTTCTCCCTTTGGTGCCGATTTGACCTCTTTACATGCAGACATCCAGTTTAAAAAAAAACAGGCCAGTGAGGGTCTTGAACATTGCTGATATGTGTGGAGGAGGCTCTATTGCCATATTTCTATTAGTGAAACTAACATATATCAAAAGAATAAAGTTGTGTTGCCCTTTTCTTATTATTGATACCAATGTATGCTAAAAGACACAAAAATACTGTCATGGTCAGTCCGTGTTGCCCTCAACATCCCACGTTTATTTTGTGGGATGTTTTCTACTAGAAATATCCCAATAGTTCACTTTTAAAGTAATTTGCTTTGGTACAATTTTAAATATTGACTTGAGTTTTCCATTATATTTTAATTAACATTGTTATGCTTCCGTTTACAAGCACATTTTTTCTATTATTGAATAATAAGTTGATTATTTCCCTGATTGATAAAACAATATTTACTCTAAATTATAATTAAATTACAGTTTCTCTTAACGAAATGTGAACTCTTCAACTGTCTTCTTTATTTAGTTGACTAACTTTATTTTTGCGGTAGAATTTCAGAAAAATATCATCGGCTAATAAAATGTAAAGAAAAGTTACATACTAAACTACCCACCAGTCTATATAAGAGATTAGCCTCATAGACTTGCTACAATGTTAAGATATTGCCAACAAATTAATGAATCAGTAATATTAATCCAATAATAATAAAGCAAACGTAACTCTATTAATTGTTCTAATGTCTAACCCACCTGAAGCAACATTTCAAAGGAACAGCTACATATACATTACTTGTGTATTTCCATACTTCCAGCAGTGTACTTTTTACTCCACTAAATGCAAAATATTATAAAAAATAATCCTTTAAAGTAAACGTATTTCATGTATCCTATCTTGCCTTTTACTTTTATAGGTGATACATTATTACGTTACACTTTAGTGAATTCAATTTATAATGCAGCTAAGGAGTGTTTTCCAATGGTAGCATTGCTGCTTCTTTTTTTTAAGCTTTGGGTGCTTCTTCCACCTCTGACTTGACGTGCACACTGTACTTGAGTGGGAGGTGAAGTCAGTAAAACAGATTATGCAATAGAAAACAAACAATCACAGCTTTCTCATAACGGTATTGGACTACAGATGACTTACTGAAAGCACAGACTTCACTACATCCCAGTGATCATGCGAGCTGGCGCTGATCTCACACCAGTCGTCCGCCGCCTTCTTCTTCTTCTTCTTGTCCGGCAGATGGCCGTTCTGCTGCGGCCCCGCTTCATCTAATCCTCTGGCTGCACTGTGTCCGAAATAACTTGCTAAATCGGCGCTAGGCGATGAGCCGCTAAATAAAGACGTAGCGACCACAATAGCGAGCAGCGTGAAGATAACAGCGGATATTACAAAAGTTAGATCCATTTCTGTGGAGCCTGGTGGTGTTAACAGGCCTGTGTTGTGACCGTCTACCCCGCTTTCTGTTCACCTGAGTCGGCCGCATTCAATTACAGTCGGCCATCCCGCTGCTTGTATTAATCCTCCCCAGACATCAACGTTAACGAGCAGCGTTTATGGGATATGTTACAATCTCCTCTCGGAGCAGGACGTCATATCCTTCGGCCCCGCCCCCACGTCAGCAGAGTGCCCCAGCTTTATTACCCCGCTCCGCCCCCACCCACCACGTCCAGGTGCAACGTGCCCGGCTCCTCTTCTGCCGGTAATCGCCTCAGAGGTGAGTACTGCACACCGGGAGATGGTGATGGTTTGTGACAGCACCAGGCTGATGGAGTCAGGCTCGGTTTACAGTCTCCACCAGGGATTAATCGACACCTTCAAACTACATTACCCCCAGAGTAATCTACAGTCATAATGGTTGAAACCAATATAATATTGCATATTCCGATTTGTATTTTAAAACAATTTATTGTACATGTTCCTTTTATTGAACTCATTAAATAACAGTAAACATATCCCACATTAACTTATCCTGGTGCTCAATTCTTGTTGAAATACACAGCTTCTACAATCAATCAAGTTCAGTTTAAATATCTTTACATCCAAAAAATGTGCTTGGAATAATTAGTTAATTATTAAATCTATATACTTTCTTCTTAAATCATTTATAAAATGTAATCTACTCCTGTGAAAAATGTGTGATTAAAACTACAAAAGCTTAGAACACTTTTCCCCCAAACAGTAGCCACTGTGGCCGTATTAGAACTATGAGACAATGATAAATGTTATTATAGTGTGACAGTAGCACAATTGGAAAAGTCACATTAATGCAAAGTTTAACATAGAGAACAATAATTTCATTGCCAATGCAAACCATTCTGATAGTTGTGCATATGACAAATAAATACTTGAAACTTGATTTGGAACGACAGATGTTTATTGACATTCACCTAAAGCAATTACAAGACGTTTGAGGTTCAGAGGAATGAAATACACAAATAATTTCTTTAAGCAGCCTGGACTGCCCATTAAACCCTTCACTAGGAGTCACACTGGATTCAATTAAAAAAAGCAAGCAAAACTTGTTATTAACAGTGGATAAACCACAGAGGAGAGGGGGAATAGAGAGAAAAGGAAGGAGAGAATCTGTATAGGCGGGGGGGGCGGGCGGGGGGGAAAGGGAGAGAGGACAGGACAGGAGAGGATAGATGATCTGCCACACTTGTGAGCTTACAAACCGGCAAACAGCAGCGGAGGGTCGAGCCCCGGAACAGCGCCGGGCACTCAGCACCGCAACACGCCACACCATGTCACCACCGCACTGCACCGCATCTTAACAGCTAACCAGCATTACTCAACTGCTACACAACTGCGCCTAGTGCACAAAAGATACACAAGAAAGAGGGTTAGAGTCATAGGAAAGCAACTTTAACCAGACAGAAAATAGAGATTTGACAGAAAATAAAAACATGTAGTCTGCGGGATAAGCAAATTAAAATATTAAGTGCCTTTGATGTTTTGCCTTTTTCACTGTACAGGAAAAAAAAAATCTCCATAAGAGTGGTAAAACAGATGTAAAAGCTCTGAACATTCAACATTACACCCTGCAAATAAAACGTTCATATTCATTTAGAAAGATTATTAAACAAGGGGTTAAATTAAAGGAAATGTAAGTTCATAAAAAAAGTGCTAGGGTAAACCCAATTTAAATCAGCAAGAGAAGAACTTATTTTAAATCCCTTTCAAATTGCTCAACTTCGCAAACAATGATCACATCAATGTTACAAAATAGTTTTTGTAAATAAAGTCAAATCATTTTAGACCAAGCTCCAATAACCTTTCAGTCTGCTTTCAGTGGTAATAGTGGAGTCCACTTGCTCAATGTGAGACTCTTCCTGATGTCCTCAGCAAAGGCTCAGTCATCTGAGATCTGCAAAGAAAGACAAAACAGAATTAGGAAATGCCCAAAATAGGCTTTTTTATTTCTAAAAACTCCTGAAGCTGACCTAGACATTTAAGCACAGTGCTTGTCTGATCTGCTCACAATAACATTAATCATAGTGCATTTCCCCCCTGGGCATCTTCATGTATACCCAACATTTCTAGTAACTTTCACATTTGTTTACACACCTTACCCGGCCCCCCTTTACAATAGTACTAGCTCTAACAAGTCTTACACCCGGGCGAATTGGAAAAACAAACCTCGGGGGTCCGTTCCCTTTGTGAGGCGGACGAGCCCACAGGAACAGGTGGGCACTGACTGCTCAGTGCATCTGCCTGTGATCCCCGCCAACGTACCTCACCACACCACCTCACACACCAACTGACAGCCCGAACCACTGCCATGACGACCTGCTCCATAGCAACCACCGTTGCCTCGGTGACCTGCTCCTTAGCAACTGCCATAGCTCTCAGCAATCAGGCAGGTCACACACTAACTGCTCTCACACTGCCACACCCCCATCTCCTCCTCCTCTCTTTGCAAACAGGACTCCGCAGCTTGGAGGAAAGAATTCCACATTTAGGTGAACGTTTTTGAGTGAAGCACCCCACGTCCCTCCCATACAGCCCATTTTGAAATATAGGTTACACTAGGTCCAATCAACCCAAATCTCCTGTTGTCTGTGGGTGCATAGATTGGCAATGCAAAGTACAGCACACACAGAACTAGGACAACATCAGTCCCAATCTTATTTTTACCATTTCGAAAAAATGATTCTGACGACTTTGTTGCTTTTGTGCAAATGCATGACATGTAGCACTAAGACTGCAGAATAATAACCTAACTGATGACAAATAGCCATTTTAGGAATACTATTTGAAGCAAATCATATATTTCACCCTTCCCCCTGAATACCGTCATGCTGTGTCCAAGACTGGATTAAATCTCTGCTCCGTTGTCCTCTGGAGATTTTGGCCTACTCTTGGATTTGGAGCGGGACTTTGATTTGGACCCTCTGTTTGAAGACGGGGTTCGACTCCTTGACCTAGAAGACCGGGACTTTGAGGGAGATTTTGTCTTGCTTCGTCTTGGGGTCCTGGACTTGCACTTAGACTTGGACCTTGACCTGGAGTCGGAGTGAGACCTGGAGCGGCTGTAGTGGTGGCGGCTCCTGGAGCGGGATCGGCTCCAGCTCCTGGAGCGGCTGCGGCTACGTCTGCGACGTCGAGGGCTGGCTGAACGACTGGGAATATAGAGAGAAGAACAAACCAAAATAAGATGGAAACTGACAAGACTTATTGTCAGAGAAAAAGAACATTCAAAATCAGGATAATCGTGAATATCCTCACACCAAGTCTTACACAATTTTGCTGTTTTAAAGTGTATTTTAGTTATGCAGGTGCTCCTATATGTAATGCAATGTTTAGTATTTGTATTCCATTTTTAGGTTTTAAAGTCTATTTTGAAGATAATCTGAATAATTTCGTCAATGGCAGAATCTTAGTCAGTATAATATTGTCCCATGCCTACAAAATCAAGGATTGATGATGAATGACTCCTAATACTTGCAGATTACTAGATATTAAAACAATGGTTAGATGCAGACTTACTATATTATATCCACAGCAACTATATGTAAAGCTACAACAAAGAATAGTAACTACATAATGATAAATTAACTGTCCTGTTAAACTGAAAGGGTTGCTTCAACTTGAGAAACACTACAGACATGGAAAACAAGCTGAAGATGACAAGGTTAGTTATGTTTTGCACAATTTTGACCCCCTCCTATAGCAACAATACGCCACAGCTAAACCTAGTATCCACAACAGTATTTACCTCCTGCGTCCGCCGTACCCCCCTCCGGATCTGCGCGGCGGAGCCCCTCTCCGGCTGTGCATGGAGTCCGGGGGTCTCCCGTAGCGGGCCATCTGCACCCGGAGCTCCCGCCCGTCCAGCAGCGCGCCGTCCATAGCATCCATTGCGTCCTCGGCGTCGCGCTTGTCAAGGAATCGCACGAAGGCGAACCCGCGGCTCTCCTTAGTGTACCTGTCCCGGGGGATGTAAACATCTCCCACACGGCCGTACTTCTCAAAAACTCGGCGCAGAGTCTCCGGTGAAGTACGGTACGTGAGGTTGTCCACTTTCAGGGAGGTCATCCCCTCAACGTCTGGCGGCGCCCTTCCGTAGCTCATTGTGTCTGTCTCCAGTCAACACAGCAGCCCAGTCCAACCCGTTAGGCCCAACCGTAATCTCCAATTTGTGTAATTATTGCAGATTTTTTTTTATGACACTGGCTGTCGTCTCTGCCGCACTGGTTTCACCTGAAATGGCGGCAATAAAGCTTCCTTTTCCTCTTTCATTCTTGCGCCCGTGTTGGCCTCTTCTGATTGGCTGCTCGACTTCTGCCACCTCTCCCGCAGCACTGCCCTCTGTCGACAGGGAGTAGCTTTAAACGATAATATTGGACAAACTGCTGCCTTTGTTCTCTTTAGTTTCATTTATATAAGCTAGTTGTCATGAGTTAATAGTGTTTTTTTTGTAGTTTATCAAGGCCGGACAGTGTTGCTGTGAATCCAGGGTCGCTGTCTTAGAGTTTGGTTCCTGTGGCACTGTTTGTTGCGCGGTACAAAAAAAGGTTTATATCACAGCAACAACCTTTCCCGTTTTGTACGCTAAATTGAGTTTTGTACTGCCAATTTCCACCCATGTTTAGAGGGTAATGTGGTTTTTGCTCGGTGTGTATACCATAGTCCCGTCCTCTCTGCACTGCAGTCAGCACTACTCGCACATTTGGCGTAGGAAGGTCACGTTACAAAGTGGGTCGGCACTATCTGCTGCTGCTGGAGAGAGGAGGACTGCGCAAAAACCACGGCCCGGATTTGTGCCTGCCTTACGTCATGGGAAGCCTCGGACCTCACTGACAGGATCCAACAACGAGAGGCACCGGGGATGATGTGTGACCAACAAACAGCGGGCCGGGAGATGTCGACGAGCACACGGCTGTTTTGAGCCATACACTCGCCCGTAGAGTAAAAACCAGTCACGGAGAATTATCGCTCTGATTGCGGCTTTCCATGAGAGTGCCTCTCCGCTGTTAAAGGGACAACTACGGCTGTTTTCTACCTCAAAAACGAGCTGGTGACCAGGGAAGGATAAGCAGCTGGATAACTAATCCCCCAGGACTGTCACATTCACGGCGGGGTTTGGATCCGATAGAAATGGACATGCATGCAGGGCAGCACAGACTGGATTAAACGATAGGGAATAAAAGAGACGCCGCGAACAAAGTGTACCCGAATAAGTGTTATGCCAGTTAATCCGTGTGGTCTTTATTTGACTGGAAATGGGAGCTTTAATAAGCAGACAAAACATAGGCGTGGAAGAACTGGACATTCCGTCCAGTTCGGTGTACCGTTATCCACCGAAATCTGGTAAGTCACCGAGCAGGTCACACTGACTGCGGGTCACTGTAACATGCTTTAAAGCTCAATTTCGTGTTTCAAACGCATGGAAGGGAGATGAAAGTAGGGATCAACATCAGAACCATCACCCTCTTACCTAGCTGCAGGCCTGCAGAGCATTCAAGCCTGAGGAGCTACCTGTGGAGAGGGGAGAGGACCAATAACTAATTTTTCTGAGCTTTCTTTCAACTTAATTTCCCCATTTACATATTCAAATTGCACACTGCCTTTGTCTCATGTTTATTCATAACGTTTTATGTAATTTTAATGTATTTCTGGCACTGCAGCATTGCTGAGTTGTCCATGGAGCATCTCATTTATAGCCATTGGCTATTGTGGTGCATTTATGAGCTGGACCTCTGATCATGCCTATCTCAGTCTGTGTTAAAATAAATCATTAATGATGGACCCCAAGAGGAGGAACATGAAAATACCTACATCATCATTAGCAGCAGAGCTTTTAGTTTAAAAGAAAGGGCTACAACTAATGTTTTTCTTTCTGTGTACTTTAATGTGCACGTCATCCTTTTTACAAAATATAATGCTGTCAAACTAGAGAAAACTGTTGTTGAGTTGAGTTTTCACAGTGGTCCAAAAGAGTAACAAAGCCCAAGATATGTAATGTTTATTTTTATAAAACCGTGGAAAAGCAAAAACAATGGAGGTTTGGAAGTATAGATTTATATATTTAATAATTAATAAAAAAGATTAGATTTTAATGGTAATGTGGATTGATAAATTGTTGTTTGACTTAAAGATTGACTACTGTAGCGAATTCAGTACTTATTTAAATCCACATTGTAGTAGATCCTTAAACCAGGTATCAACTGTCATCCTTTTTGTTACATTTCAGCACATTCCTTGAATAAATAACTTAATTTTTAGTCAGTAAAACTTTAGAAAATAGTGGAAAAATTCGACCATGAAGACATACTCCAGTTGTTTGTTTTGTCTATGTTCAGTTTGATCATTTTAGGCTTCTCATTTGGAAATCAGAGAGGAAGCTGGACACGTTTTGGAATTTACATTTTCTGTCAGTTGATGATGAGCTCGACTCATCATCTCAACATCTACAAGAGTCTTTGTTACAATAACTGTTTTAGATGTTGAGATGAGACTTTTTAAAGTGCTTCAAATGTTAATGTGGAGGCAACATTTTTAGGTTTTGGCACATGTATCAAAACATTTCAAACTATACCAAACATGACCCTCATCTACCGGTTCACCTGACTCACAAGCTGTCCTCTCGACCCTAAACTGACCTCTTGTGTTTTCAATCTGTGTTGTTATTGTTCCTCGATGTGACATTTTCTGATTGCAGCGCCCTGTTCTGCTCCCCACCAGGGTTTAGCAGTAATCCAATATTACCACCATAAAATCTCATTGTGAAGAAATAATGTTATTGCTTTCCCACTCTATTGTAAGCAAAGACATAAAGTAAATGAAAATCTCTCACACATTTCGACCTGGAACCAAATTAGGGAACAGCAATTGTGATGTGTTGGGCTTTGAAATCACAATAATATCTTAGATCTATAGTGATATTATGTGCTGGAGAAAGGAGGGAATGGAAGGAAAACTGTTGACTTGTGGCTACCATTAAAGCCTCTTTTGTCACATAATTTAGCTGATTTGTCACAGGCTCTTTGATTGTGTGATGTAACAATCCTAGTTGCAGCCGTGTGGTAATGATGGTGGAAGGGAAGGAAAGAAGCTGGTGGCGATGGCTGCTGGTGAAACCGATCTGTCAGCCACAGTTCCTGTTTCTGGGATCTGGTGGCAAATCCTCAGCCAAGCTCGCTTCTCCCACCTACTGTTAATAATAATAAGGTGATGAAGAGTGGGAGCCAGAGCCCATTGTGGCTTTTTTTAGTTGATGAGTTGTTGTGTTATGGATTTTTTTCTACAGTGTGAATGGTTTCAATGTCAGAGCATCCAAACCCGCCCTCCTCTCTAGCATTAAAGAGACAATTCAACATAAAATCCAAATTTCATATGTATTATATCGCTATTTTATCAGACTAGATTGTTTTGGTGTGAGCTGCCTAGTGTTAAAGTTAATATCAACAGACTATGTAGGTCTGTGGATAATCTTGAGTTACTGGGTCATCATTTCTGTAAATGGACAATGACTGTACAGTTTTTCAAATGTAATTTTGGCACTTTGAGCGGATCAGCCAGTTCCATTATATTCCAGGGAAGTAAGACATCTCTGAGACCAATATCTCCACTACTCAGGCAAAAATAATCTTGATTCATAAATAGCTATACAAAAAGGGGCAAATATATATTTTACTTTCGAGTTAATTGTCACCTTTTAATAAGAGTGAAAGATGCCAGTATTTAGGTCCTCCCAGCAGCAGATACATGACTTGCCTGTCCAGCATGTATTTAAAGACTGCAAACCACCATTAAAGTCTTATGATATTAGCTCACCCTGTGATTAAAAGGTAAAACGTCTATTTAGTTTTGTTGTCCACGACCCAAAGTCTTGGTAAACAGGTGGAAAAGCTGCAATAGACCCAATAACAACTCAGCTTCTGTGAGAATGCCCTCACAGACCATTAGATCAGTACGGAGCCCTGGAGGGTTCATAGAGAGAAAAATAAATAAAACGAGGCGTGTTTGTGTGTTTGTGCTCTGCTCAGCTCTGTGTGGGTGTGTGTGTTCGGTGTATGTGTGTGTCCGACACCGGCATTTGTTTCCAAATGACCATGAACAGTAATTTACACATGGCTAACTCCATATGTGTATTCCCAAGTGAAAGAAGTTTGTTTAATCTTAATCTCGATGTAGGCTAGTGCTAAGTACTGTCGGAGTGCACCAGAACGAACACCACTATCATAATATCTTCTGAAAACAAATGCCCACACACACAAACATACACACGCCCTGGTGACCGGACATCTTCTTCATAAAACTAATAATATGGCGTAATAATCGGGCAGTTCGATGTGTCTAACCATAAGAAAGTATCTTGTGGCCTCGTTTTATTTAAATTGAGTCCACAAATTACATCTCGTGCGCACAAATTAATAAAACCTGGCCTCGTTTTATTTATTTTTCTCTAACCCTCCGGGGCTCCGTAGATCAGTAACTTGGTTGAAAAACAAAAGTAACTGTATGCATGAGAATTGAAAGACACAGCCACATGGCGCTCACCCCTAACCTCTGTCATTAATATGTTGTACTTCTCTGTGTGCAGGAAGTTACTTCGCCAGCCATTTCATCATGGGGGGAGAGAAGTTTGACTCCACCCATCCGGAGGGTTACCTGTTTGGGGAAAACACTGACCTTAACTTCCTGGGGACGAGACCTGTGGCGGTAGGTGTTCTCACACTAACAGCTGTTTTAAAGGGAAACTCAAGTTTTCAGTGCTTCATTTGTGTACCGTGAGTGCCGACCAAACCACAAACTGATATAATAAGACTGTTAGGGGTTTTCCTTGTTTAGGAAACACAAGATTCAAGCTATTCATATAGTATTTATCTCCACTTCCTATGACACATGCAGAATAGAATATACAGCCCGACATCTGAGTATCCCCCCCACGGGGGGAGAACTGCTTTTGTAATTTTTCTAGCATGCCAATCATAGCAGACTTGGCTTTTTCAGTAAGGATCTTAAGGAGACCGGTGCTAAAACTGAGTGTTTCAGACAGAAATGTTCAAACACAATGTATTATTTGAGCATTAAATCAGGGTAACATGTTCTCTTAGAAACCCAAAATACAAGTAAAAAATAAATATAATATGTCCCCTTTAAATGTTTAAAACTCAAACAATCTCACCAAAAGTCTGACCCTGATAGAGTTGTCAAGGAGCTGTAGCATTTTCCAAAAATAATTTTGGCACATCCGACTTATAAATTGAAATTGGAGAGTGTGGGGGAAACTTCTGTATCAATGGAGAGTTAGGACTCAGAGAGACACGAGGAGAGCTGGAGCTTTGATGGCAAAGACTGACAGTTTATTTGGAGCTTCGGCCGGAGAATTCACAAGACATGTCACGGGCCACAGTTTGACCACACGGTTGAGATGCCACAATCAATTCTGAAGAACTCTCCTGTAGCTCCAGGTTTGAACTAGTTCAGAGTGTAATAATCAACATTCTTCAATAGATAGACTAAACAGCTGAGGGACACTGAATTTGTTGTCGCTTATGGTTCGGGGTCATCTACACCCCGAGAAGGATGTGTTCCAGGTGTCCCACAACAATAACTATCTCTGACCGAAAGTTGCCCGGTCATAAACTGGTAACAACAACAACATGCTTGGGCAGCCCCTCCTTAAGGGAGATAGCGGCTGCCTAAGGTTGGGCATCTGCGTCAGAGGGCAAAAGGTAAACATGTATACAGAATTATTCCCTGAAAGTAGAAGTTTTTGTCAACATTCAGGCCGAAAATGAACATTAAATCCCCAAATTAAACATTTTATAAAAATGCTTTAAGTATTTAAACAAAGCAAGGAATTAAAATAAAGAGATCTCAAGTATCTTCATTATCCATTCATCGTTTTTGTGTCAGAAAATGTTATATAAAAAAAAAACAGCTCAGCATGATGTCTTAGAAGTGAAAAAGAGACAACGAAATGGCCATTTTTGCCATTTCGCCTTGATGGATGATTTAAAGTCAAGAATCTTGTGTCAAACGGCTCCTTCAAAAATCAGCTAAGATGTGAAGCCGTCTCTTGTCATTGAACAGCTGGTACATTTCACCAGCCGCATTGGCAATTAACAAGCTTCCAGACTGTCGCCGATTGAAATGTATTTCAACGTCTCATCGTGTCAACCTAATTAAAAGGGAAATGTCAGTCTACCGTCTCCCTCGTTCAGAGAGGCCAAAAAGCCACGGTTCCTCCGGAGGGTTCCTTCAACCTAATAATGAACGTGAAGGTTAAACAATTGAGAGCTGCGGATGAAAAAGAGCTCACATCTAGAGAGAAGATAGAGAATTTGTCACAGACGAGTAACGGTCACAGGCTTGTAGGGAGCTAATATGGAGAGCTCCATCACAGTGTGTGCTAATCTCAGTTGCTCTGCTGTTTGAGTCTAGACTGGGCTCCTAAAATTAGGAGTGCAGCTTTTCTCCCGATTTATGTGGGTGTTTATAATCCTACTGTTGGCACAGGATGCAGCTGGTGATTTCTTTTCATTATATAATGTTTGGTTGTTTCTAAACAGATGGTGCCGTGGAATAAAACCAACCGCAGTTGTTGTGTTCCCGATCTCCTCCTGCACCGCTCTACAAATATGATAATGGGTAGGGCGGGCTATATTTAGGGTTTTCAGAAACGCCTGCCCGAAGCACACAGATTTACAAAATGGACGTTTACCCTTTCTAGAATCAATAAGAGTCGCTCACCACTGTGTTTGGGACTCAAATATCTAATCAACTCTTGGATGGATTCGATTTATACGACATTAATGAATCACTCATGATAACTGTATACTGTCTTTGGTGATAACATGCCTTTTCAAATAGCACCGTAATGAGGTGGGCCTCTTTGGGTTTTGGTAAAGTGTCCCAACAAATATTTAATGGCTTGCCAAGTGATTTGTCAGACACATCAATGTTCCCGAACAAATTAATTATACTAACTTTGATTGGTGCTTTTCATGTGGGATCTGTTGAGCTAAACTTAGTGTTTAATGCTAGTTAGGCCTCACTTCACATCTAGGGCTGTGAGCAAAGGGTAATACAGAAATGTGTGCAGGCCTGATGTGCATCACTTCCTTGAGGTGAAGACGTTTGTGGCTAACATTAGCCTTTTGACCTAAGCTGGGTGTATATTTTTTTGTAATTAGTATTCAAGTTACAGCTTGTTTATGCGAGTCCAATGAAAACTGGAAAATACATTTTAATTGTCATGTTTATTTTACGAGGCCAGTATACAGTTTTTACACAAAATACATTTATTTTGTAGTTTTACACTACAGGAAAGGTTACAAACGTACTTAATACTTAATGTTTTTTAAGATAGCGCTCTACAACACTACAAAAAAAGTCTTAATGCATAGAAATGCTTCACAACTTAAAAAAAGACAAAAAGAAGATTGCTAATAATAAAACAGCCCACAGAACTGCTACCATGGCACTCGACCTGTAGTACACAATTATTTAAAAATGACCTTTCAATTCTTAAGGAAAAAATCACCTGTATTTGAAAAGAAATTTGTTTTTATTTTAATTTGTCTTAGCATGTATGAGAAAATACAGTGTGTTGCTGTGAAGTTTCCTGTGAGTTTCCTAATGAATGCTTCTTTTCAGCATCTGTTACCCCGTGTGTTTGTTCTGTAGTTTACAGGCGTGACTCCCGCTGAGCCCAGATGTGTAAAAGTACTGAATATGTTGCCATTCACAGACACTCCAAGTAATATGTATAATATATGAACACGGACAGATGAGGGTGTGTAGTGTGGAGGTATCTGACCACGTCCTGAATGTTTCTTCTCAAACCAACTCTCCTTTGGTTCTCCAAAAAAAATACGGAGTGCGGACTGGTACTGGAGAGGAGCCAGTTCACCTCCTGGGCCACTGCCGAAGTGCCCTTGAGCAAGGCACCTAACCCCCAACTGCTCACTGGCGCCGGCTAGACTGGCTGCATCCGCTCTGACCTCTCAACTGCATGTACATGTGTGCATATAACTATGTGTATTTGTATGTGCATGTTGTAAAAAGTGTGTACTGTGTGTGTACTGTATTACCTGTATAAAAACGCGTGTGTGTGTACGACAGAGTGGAAACTGAATTTCCCCCTCGGAGGATTAATAAAGGTCCATCTTATTCTTCTTCTTCTTTTACGCTCCGTCAGCAACTTCTGGCTTCAAACACACAACAAGAGTGCTGAGAAGTGAACCACAGAGTGGGTTAAATTCAAAGGGTGTGTGACCATTTTACGGTTTTATCGGTAGCAGTTACTAGAGAAAATAATGCAAGGAAAGTATTTCACATCTTTGTCTTTGGCCTAATGCTATTAAATGTTGCCTGATGCCGTTATCTTCACCTCATCTGGTCTTTGAAATGTTAACAGGCATAGTTTGACCCCGGACTGTTTCACACTCCTGTGGTCCTGCGTTTGCAGAAATGTGCCTATACACTGTCTGAAGTGTCAGCCTCGTCCCTGGAAAGAACCAATCTGAGCAGATTTTTTCGCTGTGGCTCAGCACTTGTCAGCACGGATCTGGCGGGTGCTGACCAACCGAAACGCTCGTGTTAAGGTTAAACCAGAAGCAGCCGGGGCCATTGTGTAACCCTGACTTTCCTGTGGTCAAGAGAGGAATGTCGGGGCGGACTGAGGGGAGATGAATGCTGCTACTCTTCTCTCTCATAAGTAACATGTATTTTACATCTATAATTTGTTTCCTTTCAGTTCCCATACGCAGCCCCTCCGCCTCAGGAACCAGTTAAGACGTTACGAAGCCTTATAAACATCCGTAAGGACACTCTGCGGCTTGTACGGTACGCACCTTTCTTGTCTTGTCAAATATTCTTCAGCAGTACTCAGTAAAGTAAAAAAAACACAAACAGTGGGGCAAAAAAGTATTTAGTCAGCCACCAATTGTGCAAGTTCTCCCACTTAAAAAGATGAGAGAGGCCATCCTAGGTACACTTCAACTATGAGAGACAGAATGAGAAAAAAAAATCAAGAAAATCACATTGTCTGATTTTTAAAGAATGTATTTGCAAATTATGGTGGAAAATAAGTATTTGGTCACCTACAAACAAACAAGATTTCTGGCTCTCACAGACCTGTAACTTCTTCTTTAAGAGCCTCCTCTGTCCTCCACTTGTTAACTGTATTAATGGCACCTGTTTGAACTCGTTATCAGTATAAAAGACACCTGTCCACAACCTCAAACAGTCACACTCCAAACTCCACTATGGCCCAGACCAAAGAGCTGTCAAAGGACACCAGAAACAACATTGTAGACCTGCACCAGGCTGGGAAGACTGAATCTGCAATAGGTAAGCAGCTTGGTGTGAAGAAATCAACTGTGGGAGCAATTATTAGAAAATGGAAGACATACAAGACCACTGATAATCTCCCTCGATCTGGGGCTCCACGCAAGATCTCATCCCGTGGGGTCAAAATGATCACAAGAACGGTGAGCAAAAATCCCAGAACCACACGGGGGGACCTAGTCAATGACCTGCAGAGAGCTGGGACAAAGTAGAACGAAGAGGCTACCATGCAGGTAACACACTACGCCAGACCAGGACTGCAAAATCCTGCCAGGTGCCAGGACGTGTCCCCCTGCTACAGTGTCCAGGCGTCGTGGACCGCAAGATTTGCTCAGAGAGCATTTAGATGATCCAGAAGAGGGATTGGGAGAAATGCTCATAACTAGACGTGTTTTGGGAGGAGAAAGAATGCCCTGAGTTGCAACCAAGAACACCATACCTACTGTGAAACATGGGGTTTTTTTTTTTTGGGGGGGGGGGGGAAAAACAAAAATTCCCCCCCCCCCCCCCAAAATTGGGCCTTTTTTTTTTTTGGGGGGGGGGGGGGGGGGCCCCCCCGCCCGCCGCCCGCCCCCTTGGGGTTTTTTTTTTTTTTTTTGTTTTCCCTGGCCAAAAGGGGGGGGAACCCCCCAAGGGGGACGGGGACCCCCGCCCCGCCCAGATTTCGCCCCCCCCGGGTTTTGGGTTTAACAAGGGGGGGGGGGAAAAAAGGGGGGGAAAAAAATGGAACTTGGGGGGGGGGCCGGCCCCGCCCCCAGCCCAGGGGTTATTCCCCGCGGTCTGGAGGAACAAGGAACAAATTTTTTTCTTTCTTTTTTTTTTTGGGGGGGGGGGGGGGGGGAAGTGGGGGGGGAGAAAAAAAAAACCCCCCCCGCCCCTCCTTTCCCCCAGAATCCCCCCCACCAAGCCCCCCCAAAAAAAGGGGGGGGGGGCAAAAAAAAAAAAAATTTTTGGGGGGGGGAAGGAAAAAAAAAAAATTGAAAAAAAAAAACCGTGGGGGGGCCCACCCCCCCCTTTTGGGGGGGGGGGGGGGGGGGTTTTTTTTTCTTTTCCCCCAAAAAAAAAAAAAAGCCCCCGCCCAATAATTGGGGAAAGAAAACCCCCAAAATGGGGGGAAAAAAAAAGAATTTCCCCCCCCCCCCCGCCCCCAAAAAAAAACAAAAACAAAGGCAGGCGCGGGCGGCCGCACCACGCCGGGGGCGGCCCCGGGGGCGCCCCCAAAAAACCGAAGGGGGGAAAAAAGGGGGGTGGGGGGGCACCCCTTTTCCCCCCCCCCGCCCGGGGGTAAAAGAAAGGGCCGCCCCCGCAATTTTTTTTTTTTTTCCCCCCCAAGGGGGGGGGGGTTCCCCCTTTTGGGGGGGGGGGGGAAGAATTTGGGGGGGCGCCCCCCTAAGAGGCAGTTTGCCTTTCCCCCCCCCCAAAGAAAAAAAAAAAAAAAAAATTTTTCCCTCCCCAAACCCCCAATTTTAGAAAAAAAAAAAAATCCCCTTTATTTTTGGGGGGGGGGGGGGGGGGGGAAAAAAAGGGGGGGGAAAAAAGTTTTTTTTTTTGAAAAGGGGGTTCCCCCCCGGTGGTTCTGGCCGCCCCAAGCCGGGGGGGGGGACCCCCCAAAAAGCCCCCCCCGCCCCCCCCGAGAAGAAAAAAGACAAGAAAAAAAAGGGTCAAAAAAACCCCCCCCCTTTTGGGGCCCGCCCTTTCCGCCGCCCGCCCCCCCTAAAGAAAAAAAAAAAAAGGGGGCAAAGGAAAAAATTTCGCCCGCCTGGGCCCAAAATGGGGGGGGGGAAAAAAGGGGGGGGAAAAAAAAAATTGGGGGGGGGGGGGGGGGGCCCCCCCCCCAAAAAAAAAAAATTTACCCGAGAACAAAGCCCCCCCCCCCCCCCAACCCCAAAGTTTGGGGGCGGAGGCGTTTTTTTTTTTTGGGTGGGTTTGGGAAAAAAAAGAAGAAAACCCCTTTTTGGTTGGAAAAACGGGGGGGGGGGGGGCCCCCCCTTTTTTTACCCCCCCCCCTTTTTTTTTTTGGGGGAAAAAAAAAAAAAACCCCCCGGGGGGGGGGGGGGGGGGGGGGGGGTTTTTTTTTGGACCTCCGGGGTTTTTTTTTGTTCCAAAATTTTTTCTTTTGGGGCCCCCAAACCCCCAAAAAAGGGGGGGGGGGGGGGGGGGGGGGGTTAAAAAAATTATAAACAAGGTTTTTAAAATCCCCCGGGAGAAAAATTTGGGGAAAAAAAAAACCCTTTTTTTTTTTTTTTTTTTTGGGGGGTTTTTTTTTTTCCCCTTTTGGGACCCAAGAAAAAAAATTACTTTTTTTTTAAAAAAAATTTTTTTTTTTTTTTGTTTTTTTTCCCCCAAAACCCCCCCCAATTTAAAAAAAAAATTTTTTTTGTTTGTGTTTTTTGGCCCAAAAATTAAAAGTTTTTTCTTTTTTTAAACACAAAGGCCAAAAGGAAATGGGGTGAACAAAAATTTTTTTTTTTTTTTTTTCTGGAAATTTTTTTTTTTTTTTTTTTTTTTTTTCTTCAAATTTTTTTGTTTTGGGGGTTCTTTCTTGCAAAATAAAGGTTTTTTTGAGCGTTTTTAAATAACCCTGCTTAAGGAAAAAAATTTTTGAAAAATTTTTTTTTAAAGCAAGGCCCTCTTTTCTTCCCAATTAATTTTTTTTTTTTAAGGTTTGGGGGAAAAAAAAAACTTTTTTTGGCCAAAACAATTGGGTTGGCTTGAAACTTAAAATTTACCTTTTTTTTTTTTTTTTTTTTTTTTTTTTGGCCCAAACTTTGGGGTTTTTATTAAGTTTTTTGGGGTAAAAACAATTATTACAGCATCCAAATTTAAACAAAATATTTTTTTTTTTTTTTTTTTAAAGGGGGCATTCCTTAAGCAAAGCAACACATTTCCCTTTTATTTTTCGCGCCCCCCGCCAAAAAAAAATAAGGCCGCGCATAAATTTTACCTTTTTATTGGGAAAAAAAAGGAAAGATTTTTTAAAAAAAAAAAGAAAAACAACCGTAAAATTATCTTTTGAAAAATTTTTTGAATTTTGTTTGTTTTTTTTTTTTTCCTTTTTTTTTTTTAAAATTTTTAAAAAATTTTTTTTTTTTTTGAATCTTTGAATGTGTTTCAAGACTCCAAAAAAACGAACCTAATAAAAACTTGAAATTCTTCCACCCGCCTTTTTTTTTGGGAAAAAAAAACACGAAATTTTTTCGATTTTGTCTTGTAAAGAAAAAAATGGGAAACTTCGTTCTTGTTTGAAACTTGTCATTTTAAAAAAGGTCGGGCTTTCAAAGGGCACTTCGCTTTTTTAGGCGCTTTTGGGGAAAATACCGACCGCCGGTTGTGCGGGCGGTTTTGGAAAAATAAAAATAGCAACGACTTCCATTTTAAAATCCATTTAACGTCAAAACATTAAAATTTTGGGAGTTTTTTTTTGGAAGCCCTGGCAAAAATATTTCCTTGTTTTTTTTTCCTTCCCCTTCTTTCCTACCTTTTGAAAAAAAAAAAAACAATTCCCCCGCTTTTTGGTTTTTCCGCCCTTTTATTTTTCTTGCCTGCCTTCCCCCCCAAAAACCGCGGTAGGGTTTTTTTTTTTTGGGCCAGGCCCGGGAGGGAAAACGCCCTGAAAAAAAGCGCTGCCCCCGGGGTGGAACGAGGTCGGAGGGGGGGGAAAAAAAGAAAACAAGGGCCCTGCCTTTTTTTTTACAACGTAGGAAAAAAAAAAGAAGGTGTTTTTGCAACCTTTTCGGACGCTGAAGAAACACACGAACCAAGGGGTGGGCCAAATTCAAACCAAAATTTTTTACTCAACCGAGGGGCCAATGGGAGGGAAAAGTTTTTTTCCCCACAATTTGGGAGTTTTGGCCACAAAAGTTTGGGGGGTTAAGTTTTGGGGAAAAAAAAAAAACAGGAATGCGCGGGCGGGGAGGGGGGTGGGGTTTCTTGGTTTTCTTCACCATTCGGGTTTTTGGCCAGAAGAAACGCAACTTTTTCAGATAGATTTTTTTTTTTTTTTTTTTTTTTTTTTTTTTTTTTTTTATTTATTTCAAGTTTTCTCCGCCTTTTTTTTTTTTTTTTTTTTTTAAAAATAGTTTTTTTTCATTTTTTGGGCCCTCCCGTTATATGCCACCTTACAACAAAAACAAAGTCAAAAAATCAAAAAAAAGTTAAAACAAAGTTTTATTTCCCAAATTTTTAAGAAAAAAAAATAAATTCTACGGGCTTTTTTTGGGGGGTTTGCATATTTTTTTTTTTTTAAAAATTTTGGCTTTCCCTTCCGTATATAAAAAAAAAAAAAAGAACAGGTTTTATTTATAGAACAGAGAAAAAAAAAATTGTTTAAAAAAAATGAAATTTTAATTTCCCAAATGCTGAAACATTTCCTTTTTTCAAAGTTTTTTTTTTTTTATGAAAAAAAAAAAAAACAGCGCAAGTTGTTTTTTACCAACAAAAATGTTTTTTTTTTTTTTTATACAAAATATTATTTGTTTTTTTACTTTAAATGGTTTGCCAATTAAGAAAAAGGCCTGGTTCCTTTTTTTTTTTGAAATTTTTTTTCTATTTTTTCTGTGTTTTTTTTCAGAAAAGAACAAGAAAATGGAAAAGGAAAAACATGCCTTTCAACCAAAACATGAAGTGATGCCACATTTTTTTTTTTTTTAAAATTTATTAAAGTACAACAAAACCACCTTGTTTTTTTTTTTTTAGTTTTTTTTTTTAAAAACAAGGAATTGCGCTCTTTTTTGAAAAATGCAACCAATTAAGGTAAAACTTTCTTTACCTGTTTTTCAGGCTTTTTTGCGCAAGCAAAAAAGGGTCCCCATAAAGGAAAATTCAATATATTTTGATTTTTTTGTGCTCTGGGAAACTGGTTTTGTGTGTGGTTTTTTTTTTTTCGCTTTTTGCCCCCAAAGGTAAGCCTTTTTGCCCCTCAGGACAAGCTTTCCCTTTCTTTGCAGTTTTCCCTTGGAAAAAGACGGGGGTGGGGGCCATTTTTTAAGAGGGGGAAGTTGTGCGCAAAAAAGCCCAAAGTTTTTTTTTTTTCTTTTTTCTGCCTTGCGCCCTCAGCACACCCGTCCAACCCCCCCTTCCAAAGCCGAAAAAGGTTTTTGTGGGGGGGCCGACGGAAGGGAGGCGGGTGGAAAAGGCCCAACTAAAAAAACACAAAGGCCCTTGTTTTAAAAAGAAAAAAAATTGAAAGCGCTTTTGTAAAAAAATCCAACATATTAACATAAGGGCAAAAGAAATTTTAACAAAAGATGTTTTACTTGGTCCCCGAAATTTTTTTTTTTTTTCCTCCCCTCCTCAAAGCCTTTTTTTTTTGGGCCTTTTTTTTTCCTTTTTGGGGGGGAAGAAAAAAAAAAACGTTTTTTTGGGGAAAAAAAAAAAAAAACAGAAA